ATATATATATATATATAAAAGATAACACAATCATAATACTTCACCCTTTTAGATTTAGATGATTTCTTGGAAGAGGTAACTCATGGTTACTAACAATAATTTTTCGGTCTAAACAAGTCTATCAACTTCTTTATACTAAGTAAATTTAAAACTAAAAGTGGTGTTAGGAATACGAAATCATGAGACCTTGACTGACGTCACTTAACATAAAATAAAATCTCACATTTTTTTATTAATTTTAATAACAGTAATAATCAATTTAAAATGTACTTCACATAATCACAACAAACAAACAACAAAAATCTAGGATAGACCTCCTAAGGCATGGTTTTCTATTCCCCTTTCTTTTTATGGAATTAGGTGAGGATGTGATTAAACTGTTGTCAACCTTCAAGATGATCAAGAGAAGACAAAAACATGAAGTGAATGATTAATCTCAACTAAAATTTCCATAGACTTAATCAACATAAGGATTTCGAGGTCGTTTGTCTAACACGACATAAATCCCTACTCTATCTTTTAGATCTTCTCATGATTGTATATCATATGATATTTTAGGATATTGAGGTCGTTGTTCGGTGCAATGTAAATCCTCCTATCTTCTAAGACTATTTTCATGATTGTATGACGTGCAAATGTAAGCCATGAATTTTAAATAAATTATAGGAGTAAAAATATTAAGTAACATCATTTCCAAAATGTAAACCCAAACCATAGGATTATTTGGGAAGTTGTTGAGGTTTTCTCAGTATCTATGACATCTCCTACTTGTAGCTTATTTGGATTCCAAAATAACTGTTCCACATTGAGTCTTTCTCAGTTGAGTTTTCTATGATCAATCGTGAAAACAAATTTTGAATTCTTGAAGACAAAACCCCAATCTTAATCGAGAGTTTTCTTAAGTGATTTCAATCGTTTAAGATGTAATTAACTACAAGGGTTTGCGCTTATAGAAGAATTAGTAACTCATATAATATAAACCCTACCTAGCCCTTACCTAGCCTTTTGATTAGATAGAGGACTGATATGTTGGAAATTTTACAGACTAAATAAATATCATAAATTTCTTAGTATGAATAATTGAGAATATTATCAAGTGATAATTCTCATTTTTTGAGATGAAGTATTACTTGTAGTATTGTGCTCGGTTATTTAAAATACTGAATATATGAGATTCGTTTGGTCTCATTTTTCAAAAAGTAAAAATTTTCCTTTTCAAAATAAAAATTATATATATATATATATATATATATATATAT